CCAGAGACAGAATATTAATGGCTATCATTAATGAAAATGCCATCTAGCTATGAGAGCTGAGACTTTATTAGAAATCACATAATCTAAATTGCCCATAATTAAGTTTTTTATTATTTCTTTTGGCACTTCTCCAAACCGATTTTTACGACAAGCTAATTGTTTCGGCTGAGTGCCTGACATTATACACCAATCAGGCATAACATTATGACCACCTCCTTGTTTCTATGGTCATTGTCCATTTTATCAGCTCCACTTACTATATAGGTGCACTTTGTAGTTCTACAGTTACAGACTGTAGTCCATCTGTTTCTCTGCATACTTTGTTAGCCCCCTTTTACCCTGTTCTTCAGTGGTCAGGACCCCCATGTAATTGTAGAACTACAGAATGGACAACGAGTGTAGAAACAAGGAAACACGGTCATAATGTTATGCCTGATCGGTGTAAATCTGACTGTAGTTAGCTGGCTAACTAGCTTACTTTTCTCATACAAAGTTTCCCAAAGACAGTTGAGGAGGCAGAATTTTTTCCTCCAGTGATTACTACTTAAAAATGTACTATTTTATTTTTTTCATAGCTGTGTTTTAATCTGGAGCACTAGAAAAGCTAAAATGATGGAGAAATACATACATATATATACATATATATATATATATATATATATATATATATATATATATATATATATATATATATATATATATAATACAGATTTTATGTATTATATGTGAACATCTCCACAAGTATTAACCTAAGAAAATAAGCCGTTCATGTCCATGCATGGCAAACGTTTTCACAATTTCTTATGGCAGTGAATTATTTTCCACCACTTTAGTAATTCACTTAATGTGAGCCTAACGCTTATACACACTCCTCTCTTCAGCATCTAGCATCGATTACAACTAGCGAGAAGTAACTGCAGACAAAGGTTTTTTTGCGCTCCGCATAGATCATAAACCCCTGAATATAAAAAACGAAATGTGAAAAATAAATGTAAACGTTTAAGTGATTTTTATCCAGAAATACCGCAGCTTCCCCGTTTACTTGTATTTGTTCACAGGCCAGTCTTGCCCGGACCAATATGGCGGACGCGTTGACGTATCGCAGCAACAGGCCGAAGCGGTCAGCGGCGTCTGCGTGGATATGTCTATGTTGAAAACAGCAAAATCAAATACATTTGACCAAATGCTGCTGCACTCAGTGCAACGCTGAGGCCACACCTCTGCTGGTCTTGAGGTCGGTTTGCTTACTTTGTCTATTTAAAAGTTAACTTTATGCATAACGTGGATAAAAGAGTAACTCCGCCGAGCGATACACTCAGCATCGGCTATTCAGGCTCCTGGAAATGACGTCACTCGCAAACGGAGGAAAACCGTTTAGCAAACGGTTTAGAAACCGCACAAATGAACCCAAAGCTGACATTTTTAACGTTTACCTGTGGCTTTGAAGACGGGTAGAAAACACCGTCCTGCCCTCTGTCATGGTATGGAGTGTAGTATGAAAGCCACGCAGGCACATCTATTGACCAAAATATAAACATACACGCTGAAAATGGGCTAGCAACGATTGCTAAGCAGTGATTGGAGGGCTGAGGAAAAAGGGGCGGGGTGTGTCGTATATCGCAGGGTTTCTCAGTCTGTGGGCTGAGGAACACCAGTGGTCCGCGGGCCTGCACTCTGGAGGAGGCAGTAGTCTGTAGTGGGCCGGTAACGTCGTAAAAACGTAAGTGGCCATTGTAGGTTGCCTATTATGGCACAAACCACCCCGCACTGCCTTTGATTTATCTGATTTACCTTTAAATCATTGATTCATTTACAATGCCAGTCGGTGAAACAGAAAGAACTGAATTTGTTTTAATCGACCCATCAGCAATTACGCTGATATTCTAAAATAGGTTATGTTTGTATTCTTACAGAATCTGACAGTAGAAAATGGGATGTGATGTAGGTCTGAGGTCTACTAATACGCTTATATCGATTCTAGTCATAAAACCAGACCACAAAGCAGAAAAACGGAGCTGCTACTCACAAAAGCGGGACTCTGAGACGCTTCATTAATGGCAGTCCTGCTTTTCTGCCCTTTTACTGAATGAGATTCTATCAGGAGGAGGGAAAAGTGGAGCGGCCCTGATGGACTGATATTATGCAACCGTTCCTCCCCACTGTCAGTGACTGACGTGAATGACGGAGGCTGAATCGTTAACGCTGTTTTTTCATGACAGGTGTAATGAGCTCTGGCCTAACTCATTCCATTTTCCCTCCTTTTTCTGCCCAAGTGAAAAAATGGTGTTGGTGACAAGGGCAAAATGATGATTGTGCGAACCCTTTTACGCCTCACACATTTGCCTCTTTGGCAAAAAAACCCAGACTAAATGATGATAATGCTCTGATTATCTCAACCCACTGCCTCTGGTCAGTTTTAGACTACACTGATCCGAGCGGCTATGTTTCACTCTCTCTCCCATTTCCCTCCAAACCAGACAGTGCTATAAATACTGAGCACACTTTACAGGAAAGAGATGCTTGAGAATGTGCAGTTTTGTGTATTTATGATTCTGAGCACAAAAGAAAGAAAATGGGCAAACTAGCTTCTAGTGATTAAGGTGAAAGGACAGAGAGAGCCTAGTGTGGGAAAGTAACTCGACCATTGTTTTTAAAACAAGGTAAATGCACATCTGATCATCCACTCATTACTGATTACAGCACCTATGACCATGTAAATGTGAAAATGTAAACAAGACCAAAGGAAATGTTTTGATGCAACACAAGTGGTTATCATCACATATTTGTTGTGGTTTGAAATCAATCTCATAATCACTGGATGGATTTTAAATGTATAAACCTCATCCGTAAAGACAACGTTCAAAACATTTATTTTTCTATTATTGGAAAGGGAGAAAGACAATTGTTTTCTGGCTCTCTAAAACAACTAGGATTATGCAATTTACATTGTGCTAATTAGTGGAGATTATCTTTCATTGCCTCTGTATGTCGACCACACAGCTTCAGTGCAGTACAAGCCTACCACAAGAGTTTCATCTGACTGTTAACATTCTGCTCTTTGAATGCTTAATGCTTTTTGACATTAGCCATAAAATGAAATTTCAGCCTGTTTTGAACTCTCAGTTGAACTACACATTTTTTCCTTTAATAATGTTGATAGAATACATGTCAATTGAAATTTGTACGATTTAGAAAACCAGAAGCAATCTTTGTAGGTGAGCAAGTAAGCTGTGTTTTTATTGTGCATAAACGCTATTTTAATGAGGCAGTTGTACACAATTTTTTCACACTGAACTCTGCAGTTGTGCTGTTTTATCTCAGCATGGCCGTCTTTGTGGAGAGGTGGAATTGTTCTGTTATTCACTCCAATTGCTCACTCGCAGCTCAACACAGAGTTGCAACATTTCACTTCCTGCAGGAAGAGGCTACAACTAGAACTCCTAGAACTTTCACAAAAGACAGGCTACTTTTTCATCATTGTTAAATATCTGGATGCTGACATCGTTTCAATTCAGAGAGCAGTCCTAAGACATATTTCCTGATAGCTCTCTTTGATCACCTCTAATAAGATTCTTGGAACAGAACTTAAGAGAACTGAGCAGAGCATAATTAACATACTCTGAGTGAGGACAGTCACCTTGTTCTCGATTGTGCCATTTTATTCCCCAAGAGCTGTTAAGACTTCTGGTTAAAAGTGGTCAGATGAAAGGCAGCTAACATTAAATGATTTTAACAGAACTGCCTTGATAGATTAAATTGAATTAGGTGTTTTTGATCAGGGAAAAGTCACCAAGCTGTGCTGGACTAAAGCCCTTCAGGACTGGCCCTGGACACCACTGATCTACACAAATTGGTGGAGGGCTTCATTGTTCTGGACTGGGACTGGCCATTGATGTTAAAATGCTTTGCTTCAAGTTGTATTAACCATAAAGCAGCCTTCAAGTTCAAGTACGGTAAAGCAGGAATTGAGAAGAAAAACTGGGGCTTTACTAGTGAAGCAGTTGGCGCAGGTGGAACACATTTCAATTTCAAAATTTCTTTCTATAGAATCAAATAACCATAAAAATTAGTTGCAAATAACTAGAAGCATGACCGGGCAGAATTTACTGCCGCCAGTCAAGCAGTTTTTCCTGCTGAACACCAAAAAGACTACATTCAACTCCAGAGGAACTGAGTTAGAATAGAAACTGGTCTTTTGGACAGGTTGTGGGCTGCTGTCTTGTCAGCCAAAGCAACAAATAGAGCAGATTCCTTAAGTAGAATTCAGAGACACAAAGCAGAGAGAGTGACCACACAAAATATTGTTTGTCCAGAGAAGCTGGTTGCTCCTCTGTTAGCTGAGGCGTCAATTGTAATCGACTCCTCAAGTGTATCGGACTATTGACTGCAGTTGTTCTGCGGCTAGGTGGAGAGATATACTGCACTCACCAGCACGCCACTGAGGACTTTCCTTTCATTAGCCCGCAACCCAAATGTGATTTGAAACATATTTGGGGGTCTGAATTATTGAGTGTGTTTCATTTTGCCTCCAAACGCCTTAAAGGGGAAACATGCTCTGGCCTCATGAAAAATAGATCCCTGAATTCTCTAGCTTCGCTTTCTCACACACAGACAGACACAAGCATGCCCACATGGGCACACACTGCTTTCTTTGCTCTGTTTGATCTAGTTGCACCATGTCTGACGGAATTAGTGGGTGGAAAACCCTCATCAACTCTCTTAACAGGCACACCAGCACGTGCACAGGCACGCTTTCTTGTTGAACAGTTAATCAGTTCTAATTTGGGACCCCGTTCCACGCAGGGTGACAAGTCGTGATTATCACCCAGGGTACACTATACATGTCATTCCTTGTCCTATTAGTGAAATATAATCTGGAAAAAAAAAGAATTACAGAAGTGGATATATTTGATATTTGGTATTACACAATCAAATTATCAGGCAGAGGCGACATTAATTGAGAATTAGCCATCCATTCATTCTCAGTGAGACACAGAAAAGAAGACTTTGCTCATTTTTATTTAGCAGATTTAAATACAATGACAGGTCTACCTTGGAAATTAATTCAAACACTGTTGTTTTCTGCTATGGCAGGAGAGACAGAGAGGAGAAGACAAAGAAACGACCGTTATATGTAAACATCCCAGAGGAGTAGAATGAATGCTTGTCAAGGCGTTGGCAGCTTTTCTTTGTGCCACAAAAAGAGAAAACACACTCCTTACACAAAAGTCCAGAAAGGTCAAACACTCATACATTAAAAAATACACTCGTTAGTTTCACTTTGAGTGCACTTATCTAGCATCAAAATAATATCCATATACATTTAAATATAGAATTTTGTCTCATGATTAAGGAAGCGTTTTCTCAGGAAGCTGTTGAGTTCATGATCTCTCTGTGCAAACCCCGCCCTTCTGAAAGCCCCGCCCTCTGAAGTAAAGCTCAGACTGGAGCAGAACTACATTGGGTTTGGCTGTGGAGAAGCATTAAACAGTATGGTGACTGGCTAAAAATAAACACAGAAATGATAATTGGCTAAAAATGACATGGTAAATTGGTCCTATTTATCTACAAGTGAAGTCACCTGTAGCCCTGCTCTCTTTAGAAATAAAACCAAAACTCCAAAAAGATCCTTGGGCAGAAGAGGGGAAATGCACAGAGCATGAAAGAAGACCGAGAGAGATGAATGCTGCAATATTACCAAAAATAAGAGAGCATATTAACACTTTGTTGTGATGTTTTTCCCTCTTTCTCTCTGCGGATGCATCTTATGTTCCACAAGGTCTTTGGAATGGCAGGACTTAGCGACTGTACCCAAACTCATCTGCGTCATCGGCACGGAAGTCTCCATAGCGCCAAATGTTGAGCTGAAATGAGAGGGGGAGAAACAGGACAAAAATGGAATAAGCCTTTTTTTCGTGAAACACTGGCAAATTGACCAGAAAAAGGCTTACAACTGATTATATCCCCCAGCAAAACATTATATTAAAAACAAAACATTACAACATACTGCAGTCCAAACATAAGGCTGAAAGGTGAACTAATTAGCTAATTATAGTTTATATAAGTACGTCTTATAAGTAAGAAGTGCAAAAATGCACAGATAAGAGTTTTTTATCTTGTGAACGCAGAAAAAAAAACAAAAACCTAGTCACTACATCATTTTGCACTAAGAATAGAAAGAACAGCCGTTTAAAGCAGCCTTTTACACCAGCCAATTTAGGTCCAGTCATGTGTGGACACATCCTCATTTCATTCTATTCCGTCGATTTCAACTAGGCTTCACCTCATAAAACATAGAAGCGCTTTTTCTGTTCAGCGTTCCATTTCCAAGCAGTGGAATGGCCTTAGATTCAGAGTGGCTTAGGAGAGCGGATGAGAAAGGAGTCGTACAGGCTTCACTCTTTCACTGAGTACACCCTCTTTCTCTCATCAGTGTGTGTGTGTGTGTGTGTGTGTGTTCAGCTGTTAAGTCGGAGAGAATCGCAGCTAATTAGCAGCTATGATAATTAGCGCCGTTGTTAGGAGAGACATCATCATCAGCTCCTTGCATGGCTCAGTTTGCAGCTCCCGCAGCAGAACTCGCCACTCGTGTCTTGTTAAACATCTATTGGCCTCTGATGGGGAGCGGTGTGGAAGTGAAAAGATTGTGCAGCTAGTGAAAGCTGGCCTGCACCCCACCAAAACAGGCCGAATGGGTCAGTAACAGCGGAAGAGGTGGCCAGTGCCAGCACTCGTTCTGAAGGCCTGATCATTTCAGCTCTGGTGCCTCCAGAGAGAATGGGCACACAGCCATACCGGACAGTGCTGTAATGTCAGTGAGACATGATGGCTCCAGAACAGAGTGGAGAAGATAGGAAAGGAAAAAGAGAGAATGGGGAACAGAAAGAAAGAAAACGAGAGGGAGTAAGAGAATAAGTAAAGAGAAAGAATATGGAGAGAGAATTGAGGAATGAGAGAGAGAAGCAGAGAACAGGGGAGAAAGAACGGAGAGAGAATGAGGAAGACAGAGAATGGGGATAGGAGAGGGAGAGAGAGAAAAAGAATAGGGGAGAGAGAAAGATTGGGGACAAGAAAGAAAGACAGAATGGGGAAGATACAGAAACAGAAAATGAAGGAGAAAAAATAGAATGGGAAAAGAGAAAAAGGGAAGAATTGCATAAAATGTATATTGGTAAGTGAATTTATCAATTGATATACATGTTTCTCATTTTGAGATTGTTGTAAGCTTATTATAAGATTATTTAACTTATTTCTAGACATTTATACTGATTTTATTAAGTCAAATTCACTACACTGGCAGATAATTTTGCTTGAGAAATATGCTTGAAACAAGCCAAATTATCTGCCAATATAGTGAAAGAATTTGACTTACCAAAACTTACTTCAACAAGTAAAGAACATCAAGAAATAAGTCAAATAATATTATGATAAGCTTACAAACATCTCAAAATGAGAAATATTCGATATATCTGCAAAATGCAAGATAATCTCACTTGTCAAGATCATTTTTAAAGGGTACAGAGAAATGGCTCAAGCAAGGAAGAGAGAAAATAGAGAGGTATGGAGAGAAAGGAAGGAAAGGGAGATGGGGGAGGGAGCGAGACAGAGAGACACAGAGAGAGAGAGAGAGAGAGAGAGAGAGAGAGAGAGAGAGAGAGCGAGCGAGAGAGAGACAGAGAGACTGGATGAGTAGAAAGACATGGCGAAGCTGGACGAAAGAGAAAGAAAGTGCTTGAGCAGGACAGAGAAAGGGGGAGTGCAAAGAAAGCAAAGGTACAGATAAGGAATAGAGAGAGAAAGCGATGAGGCGGGGTATATGTTCACCAAGTATGGAGAGGTAGTGTAGGGCGGAAGAGGACAAACGGAAGGTGAGGAAAGATGGAAAAGGATTGGTGGAGGGACTTACCCTAGCACTCTTCGCAGACTCCTGGCCATTTAGATACTCGGTCACCTGGAAAACAAGCAGAAGCATAGTGCTTAGGCTAAGAGCTGGGATTAGTGTCACATGGCAGAGCTGACTGAGGATTAGTGGCTTCAAAAAGGGGTAAACAACAATAAAGATGACAACATGAATCACCCACCCACAAAGCAATGCAGCAAATGCAAACAACCAGCTTTATAGCAGGTGGGCTTTACCAATAGGTGTCTATGACATACCTTAATGCATCCCTGCATCCTGCCAGCCCACTCTCAAACTCATTTTCTAATCCTGTGCTACATGTAGCCCATCACTGAAAGGGGTCTTTGAAGGAAATCAAATCAGGGTCTTTAGTCACAAACACGTGAGTGGCGGAGGGGTTTTATTTGAGGGTGGATTTGGTCGGGAAGCAAAAGTGTGGGTGCTTACAGGCAGCGCTTGGACCGATATCACTGGATCTCTCTCTCTCTCTCTCTCTCTTTCTTTCTCCCTCCCCCGATGAGCAACAGCACGAGCAGGCCTGCACAAAGCGACCATATTGACCGTTTCTGCTAGAGTGGCCATTTAGAATCATCGACTGAACCACAGATGAGTCACGCAGGGAAAAGTGAGAGAAGGTGTGCAAAGGAAAGAGAAGAGAGAAGGGGGGAAAGGGGAAAAAAAAAGAGGCATGGATAATCTGCTCAGCTCAAGGTGCAAACCTCTCAGAAGCTGCCACTGTGATAGATGGCTTCAGGATGTAAGGGAGGGGTGGGATGCAGCACATTACACTGAACCCATATTTCCCAGCTTATTAGGAACAGTTGAGATCACAGCCAAGAAATTAACACAAATCCACAAAGATGCCAGATGTTGAAAACTGCAACGTGTGAGTTCTTTCAATAGTGTGTTTCAGTGCGTGTGTTAAAGGGTGTGGGGGTGTATTTAGGTCTTAATTGTTTAGCTGGCGAGCTGATTCTGCAGTGCTGCAGAACACATGGAGAGAGAGTGAGAGAGAGAGAGACAGAGAGAGACAGAAGCATGTCTGGAGGCTCCAGCTGCAGACTGTGTGGAAAAGTGCAGCCAGCGCACAGGCCATCCATCAAGCCTGTGGCCTGCATGAACCACACAAACATGCACACAATGCAACCTTACACCTTATTGTCTACCTATCCCATATACCACCAGCTATAACCATCAGTGCCTTCATGAACTCAGCACCAATGCTAAAGAACTGTATAGCTTTGCCACAGATACTATCGTAAGATGGTTTTATGATGTTTAGTAGATGTTGAGGGTACTGGGTAAAAAGGATTTGCACTCCTCTGGATGTGTGGGCCTTGCACTTCCAACAGCAACACAAACTGGGCTGCAGAAATCCAAAATTATTTATAAAAAACGTCCATTACTAAGTTTCAGTTGCTGAATGAGACGATGAAACGCTTTATGCTTGTAGGATGTGGGGATGTACATAGCAATGGGAAAATGGTAGGTTTTCATATTGGACGAGTAACAGAGGCTGCCTCTTTAGAGGACCTAATTAGCTAGCATTAACCAGAACCGTGTTAGATGTTGACGAGGAACCATCATCTTCTACATGAGATCTTTTCCACTCAGTGGACGAGAACATAGTTTCTCAGAGAAAATGTATTCTCACTGTTAGATAACATCAGCTTGATGTTTGTATTAGCAAAGTATAACATACTCAGAAAACTGTTAAAACAAAATCAGTGTTTTTAGTTGTTAGAGTTGTTAGCCTGTTAAAACCTGAATAGTGATTTTAGTACTCAAATAGTGGCACCTTGAATGGTTAACCCACTAAAATCCCAGGCTTATTGCATACTAAGGCTTAATATTTAGTAACTGCACGGACTACAATGCAAACTGGCTGAGTTATAGAAGTATGTGGTCAAACTTTAAACCAGCTGGTGGGTCCTGGCTATTTATAAGGAGTTAACAGAGTAGCTGTGCTCATCCCTTCTAGGATGTAGCCTATCTAGTACCAGGCAGTGCATGTTTGTGACTTGAAAAATAAAAGAGCATGTTTGTCACTTGTAAAAGACGTTTTGTCCGTCGGCCCATTTTATTTCACTGCACATAAACCTTTTGAACAAAAGGAAAATTACAGGTCATGAAATTCACATAATGTCAAGTGGGTATAGTTTGGTGGCACCTTTTTTCCACTCCAAATTTCCAAAGTGTAAAAGTCATAACACTACACTGTCCTACCCCTACAGTATCCTACTCTAGAGCCCCTTTTCACCATTCACTAGTGAACATTGTAAGACTCAGAGACTCTGCATCAGTAAAACAACAGCACGGATGTAAAGTTAAACTAAACTGGAGTTTAGAGCAGAGGAGCTGTTATTGCACCTTTTTCACCCCAAAACACCACAACACTATGTTGCACAGTAATTGAAAATCAAACTGCACAGCCTCTACACCCCAAACATTCAAAGTGTGTTTGAAAGTTTGGGTCTCTCAATCTCCACACTGAAATGAACCGAAATGGCCTGAGTGTCTCTCTCTCAACCTTCAGGCTGCCCTGCCTGGGGAGTGTTGGAGTGAAATAGGTTTTGGTCGGCGGTGCGTGTCATTCGGGATGTGTCTCATGCTTTAATCGTGGTTGTGGTGGCACCATGTGTGTGTGCGCGTGGGGGATAGACTTATGCAAGAAGAGGCAAAAGTGTCCATTACAACCAAGACACTAACACTCTTTCTGGGTAATGAGGAATCGCGCTGTCAGCAGGAAGTGTCTTCCCTTCCCACAAACACCACCTCACTAAGGGCTGGGTAGTGGAGTGAGGGTTGATGAAACATGACAGAGGGTGATTGTGGTGGCCAGTCAGTGTGTGAAAGTCTGTGAGTGAGACAAGAGAGACTGAGAGGGGAAAAAGGCGACCTGGGCTTTAGCGTGGCTAAAACAGTGGTGTATTGAGTGCAAATGCAGAGAGCCAGAGTGTGTTAACAAATTACAAACTATTAGCAGCTAGAACATTTCTTTAACTGCTCATCTCTGCTCTGTCTCTGTAAAATCTGGCCCTTCAAACAACTTTCCCCGATTAGAGAGTCCTATACGTATGTGACAGTGTTTAAAACTGACAATCAAAACAGAGGGATAACGGGCAATATGAGGGATAACCCTCATAACAAACCACACCGGTAGCTCCATTCCTCTTTACCAGTCCTTTACTAGAGTGAACGAGTAGTTTGTCAATGCTTAAAAAAAAATAAATAAATAAAAAAAAAGAAAAAGAAAAAAACCTTACACCTCCCACAGAACAATCTCGTGGCTCCCCGTCAGCACAATCACAGAGTAATAAAAATACTATACCTCCCATGGGCCTCCTCATCTGGCCCCTACAGCTCAATGACACTGGAGGAACGGAGGGTGGGGTGGGTGAGTATGTCAATAGTACTTAAGGTTTGCTGTAGAAGAGCTTCAAAACACTGAATTTCCTTTCATGTAATAACTGCAACAACTTGAGGCATTTCAGCATCACCCCTTCTCCTCTGTTGTTCTGTTGTTTAAAACATGCATTTAAACACAGATCTGACTGGTCCTTCTATAAGAGTTGTCACCAACCCTGAAAATTAGAGAATAGCCTTCTAGAAAAAAAATAAGCAGAAAGAAACAAGGAATAGCAGTAACAGTCAAAAAAAAGCATTTACAAAAGTTGGGACATAATTTCAGGGGGTCTGAGCATGTAGTGCTGTTATTATTTATTGTGAACTGCAATCTCAGGTACAGTGATCCTTAATGGTAGCTGCTGCTGTGGTGCTGGTGGGGTTGGGAGTGGGTGAGGTTTGATCAGAATACAGCCGACCTCTGAAACAGTATTTAAGAGTTCAAGAATTATTTGCACAAAGGGGCTAAGTCCCTTTGTTTTCCGTTATTAAATGCAGCCAGTGTGTGGATTCCCCTAGTTACTTAAACATGAAACAGCAAAACCTTAGCAATACACAAAACTAAGGAACTCAGAAGCCTGGACCAGCATTGCAATAAATCGCTGTATAGACAACATGATCAGTCTGATGGTTGTTTTATAGGAACCGTGTAGCAAAACAGAGACTATTAAGATATCAACAGCAATATGAAGATAGAAAGGAAAAAACAAAGGATAATGCTCTAATGTGAACAATGTACCTCCATCTGAACTCAGAACAGAAGGAAACTGCAGAATGCACCAGCATTTTTGCTTTGGCTACCTTCTAACATGTTTTTCTTGTGAATTAAACTTACCCTTAATCTGTCTGCCTGTCTACACTAGCATGGGCTGAGGCATAAATGTATACACAGGCTTCTATGGGCTTTACTAAGTACAACCAATACAATTTTGTGCTTGGCTGGGCACTTTGAGCTCTCTTTGTTGGCAAATAATTTTTTGCTGGCAATAACATTTCAATTCCATAGCAACCAATGACCACAGCATGGTACCTCGTCAGGATTCTCGACCTGCAGGATGAAATTCCACATCTTTTAGACTCTATTCAAGATCACTTTTTAACTTTACACACTTATTGTGTGTAATGTCCTAGTCTTTTGTAAAAGTCATCAACTCACCATATCAAAAGAAAACATGAATATATGAATTAGAGATACTGCATCATCATTTTTCCCCTCTGAAGTAAATTTTGAATCATGGCATCCTGAGTCTATATTAACTGACAACAGAGTATACACACGTACATCTATAGCTTTCCTGGAAGGAAATGCATGCTTTTGAAATCCATAATTTTCCACACTTACTACACCTGCACAATAACCTTGAAGGCAATTAGCCTTTCATGGTTTCATTCAACATTGTTGTGTTATTGGCAATTTAGAGAAGCAGCAGCTAGCAAATAACAACCAATTATGGATGTGTCAATGAGCAGGTAAAAGCAAAATATCTAGAAGTCACAGGCATTGCTGTGTCTGTTTTTTCAAGCATTTTTGACAAAGATTATAGTTGGCCATCAGCAGGGATATGTTCTATGATTATAATTGCTGGTAATTAGTGAGTAGGCAATGACCTGCGTCTAAAGCTAATGAACTTCAAATGGCACCAGTGTCACTTAGGCAAGCTGATGGTGCGAGGCAGCGGAGTGTCAGCAGAGAAATCTCACATATGCACTCAAACTCCCTCATACACAAATACTTGCGCACAAAACACGTAGACTGCCATGCAGCTCAGTTTCATTGGCAGGCAGAAGAGAACATTTCAAGCATCAAGCAACTAAAAAGAAAGCAGCTCAACTAATTTGACTGATCATCTCCTGCAAAAGGTAAACTGCACAGAGCCAGAAGCAAACCAATCTTTAAAAATGTAAGGCCATTCCTTTATTTAGCATTAAAGAACGTTTTTAACAATGTCTGCATCACAGGGTTGCGGGGACTGTTTTGCGTTTTGGTGCAGCTGTAAAGGCCACTTGCTTTCACAAAATGCTGAAGTATGCATGTGATGTACTGTTCTAAGAGTTACAAAAAATAAACTTCCAGTACAAACTTATGTGAAAAATGTCAGTCTGTGCCTGCTGATACCACCACAATTCTGGAACTGAACATCCGTGAAAGAAAATGCCAGCTTGATCTCAGGCTAATACACAGCCATCAGCCTTAAAACCAGCTCATAAGTCTCAGCCTCTTATCAGAGCACCTGCATTAACAGCACTGGGGGGTGGGGACAAACTGTCTTATCTAACACCCACTCACTATCTAACCCTCTCTCTCACTATCTTTCTCGGCGTACTAGACTCAAGTGAAAGTGTCTTGTTTGCTCTCAGATGTGTCGACTCTGGTCCGTAGGCTTTAGGAGAGCTCAGATTTGCTGATAGACAGCAAAGCAGGTGTCAAGCACTGCTGATATCCTCCGAGAAGAGTGGAGGACAGGTAAAGAGAGAAGATCTCAAGGCTCTTCACCTCCCAGGTCCCCCGACTCCTCACACGGGGTATATAAAAGGAATATAATATCAAAGAGAGAGGGTGAGAGAGAGAGCAAAGAGCTGTATTTAATCTATGGGGGGAGTTTCAGGGCAGGTTGCTATGTTATGAAAGCAGTGTAAATAATTACTGTATATTAATGACATTTTAAATCACATCTCATTTAGTTAGAAATGAAAGGTCTGATCCAGCGCATTTACTTTAATTCCACAGATTATAATTTATCATGCTGCTTTCGGAGACATGCAAATGGAGGCAAATTCCCAAAGAGCAGCCTACTATTCTAGAAATGCAGGATAGGCTGTAAGGGAATAAATGGCAGGTGATAGTCTTAATTAATTTGGACTCATCATCTCATAAAACCTTCCTCTACATCTAAGAGGTTTGGTTTCTCTAACGCAAATTGCAAATTTTTATCTTTTATGTCCATTTCCTTTTCTCACTATCCAGTTCTTAACAGCAGTACATCCAGTCCTTTCAGACCTTTCAGTACGTCCTTTCAAACTGTTCAGTTAAACTCTCCCAGTGGAAGGACAGAAACTTGTTGGTTTTAAGATCGGAAGCGTTGAAGAGTTAAAGCGGCAGTAGGGTGCACACAAAAGTAAAGAATGGACAAATACTGACAGATTTGAGTTTAGATTTAGTTGTTGAGGCTTCTGTGTAATTTTGAGCTTTTTCCCCCTAAAACTGAACAATGAATTACTTGTACTTAATGGCCACTTTAACTTGAAGTGAAATAAATATAACAATAAATAAAAAGGTGGTCTCTGAGTTTGCACAGTACTTTTTATATATGCTAGAGATTTCCCCATTGCACAATAAACCTGTTAAACCAAGTTTTTTTAAAAACATTTGACTTCAACTGCCATCCTGTAGAACTACGTAATTTCTGTGCAGAAGCACGTAACCCATGTTTAACCAACTGAACTGTTCACAATTCACCAGCATGGCTCTCTAACTATCTGCTAAATTATTCAACTTGTTAAAGTGTGCGGACCAACACACCAAGTCTGCTGAGAATCAGAATTCGGCTGTATTTTTTTCTTATTAATGCATGTCACGTTTATGCTACTAAATGGTAATACAGACAATACAGATGCTGACAACCTGTAGTTACCAAGCTAATTACTGTACAATTACAATTTAATGTGAGGATTTAATTAGTATGAATTGCGTCTGGTCGTGTATTAATACAGTTTAGCAAGGTTTTTAGAAGCTGCAGTGTCTCTCTGCTCCAAGTATCTATCTAGCACTGATCTAAGCTGCAGGCAGCAGCTGGACCGATCCACCATGATTAGCCTCATCTCATCCAGCGGTCAGCATGGCTATGGTCCATCTGCTTAACCACACACACACACGCACACATACACAACCAAGTGCCACAGCCTCCCAAAAATACCTACAGAGGATAAGCGCTTTATAATCATCCGATGACTGAAGTGCTTGGCTAGGCTTCAAAAGCAGCACAGCAGCTCACTCTCTCAAAGACACACACACAGCATCTGTAGAAGCTGGAGAAAGCAGGCGAAGATACGGCAGATGCGTGCATGCTGCAGATTACACCGCTGTGTGTGTATGTGAGCTCTCGAAGGGGTGGGGGGAGTGATGTCTTTGCAGTAATTCACAGCAAGGCCCACGAGGAAACCGGCTTGCCAGTGAAACGAGGCAGAGGAAGAAAGCGACCCGGAACGACAGTGCTCCTTTGGGAACAGCAACGCGGCAGACCGGACAGAGCCCATCCCAATCAGGTTCCATATGGCGCCAGGCTACAGGTCCACCCGCTGAGTTTACACAGCAGTTGATCAGGAGGGCTCTCTGGAGAGCCACAGCAGAAGGCTGAAGGCCTGCTATTACTCCAGAGCATTAACCGATGCAAATGCTAAAGAATAGGTTAAAAGACACAGACCAAGGGCCAAATCATGCAGAGAAAATTCTCACTGGTTATTGCTAGCCAACTCTAATATGGCTAGCCTCCTGGCAAAATAAGCTGCTGCATTTTCTGGGGAGAAAAAAAAAAAGTCCTGTGCCTCAATGCAGAATGTAAACAGCCATGGTATGCGACTGATGGTGGCATGCAGCCACAGCAATATTTCCATGGTACTAAGATTTTTTTTTTTTGCCAAAAGGCTGTAGTCCATTGATTATTTGTTGAAGATGAGCTGGTACGCCTGAACTTCAACTACAAACTGTACAGCATCCACGTTTCCAAACATGATTTATTACAAAGATACAGAATGACAAAAGATCCGTTAAGCGTTGTGTTGTTTATGTCACTGGCAGTGGCACAAGTTTCCATCCCCACTCACAATGTAAACACAGCATAAGACTGTGGAGAAGCGCAAATAGTTGAACATAATTTTATGGTTTCACAGCTTAAGCCACGCTGCTATCAGTAACCTAGAAATACGATCGCTCATGCAAACCATATTGAAATTTCAGGATTACATGAAATCAGCCACTGGCTTACTTGTTAACTGCTAACTAATTAAAAGCTCTCAGGCAGGCTCTTAGCACTTAGTAACATCATTTCCTTCAGCAATTTCATTTGTAATGTGCGATGTGTAGCTCATTGTCTCTCCAGTGTGTTCAATCTTACAGTACAGAAAGTGTCACCCATAGCTTTGTTGCATGCGAAAGCTCCAAGTCTAAGAACACTGGTGGGGGGATGGCAAGCGTGCAGTGCTTTATAATGGTAGAAAATGGCCTGCGAGAGAGAACCTGCTGAGGGCTCAGTGAAGAGCTGATGGTAAAACAGCAAGGTGCACAGGCCCATTCAATGTGTTACAACAGATCACCTGCTGATCTAATGATTATTCACCTTACAGCACATAAGACATATGGAGTTGACCAGAGCGATTAAGTTTGTCTATTGCTCTGTTTTATGGAGTGGGATATAGCTCGCTACTGCACAAGGTGTAAAAGCCATTATGCCCATAACTCCCTCAACAATGCACTATTTGCTATTATCAGTGCTAGTCATGACCAATTCCACCAATACCAGAATGTGAATATGAATTGATATTGCAGTGCTGAAAGATAAAAGGGGAAATAACCACAACATCATAGTAGCATATAGCAGGGAGGAGATAGGGGAGAAACAACAAAAACAGCCTATAATTATGTCAGAAAATTGAGATATGCCAGAAAATTTTAGACATAAAACTATCTACAAATGTCATAGTATGGTATTGTGTGTAGGACTGTAGCTTTCCCTGCAGTCCAGCCAGGTGTATCTTTGTTTGTAGCTGAGGGTAGCTTCTCACTCACCATTTTCTGCAGGTGTTTCTCCTTACGAACCTCCACCATCACCAGCCCCTCTTTAACCAGGCCCAGGCCCACATCATCTTTGGAGTCGGAGAACAGCAGGGTGACGTGCGGGCAGACAGAGCCACCGTGCTCTACGTTCAGTAGACACTGTGTGTTCTGAATGTCCCTCACCACGCAGTCCACTGCATCAGCTCGCGCGTCTTCCTGTGAGAGAGCAGGTACACAGTGAACAGATTCCACCTACATTCACTATAGAGTCCATAACAGAACCATTATGCTTAAAAACAGTGTGATGGTGCACATATGTATTCTGGACCCTGTTTACTCAGTTTAGATGCCTTTTCTGGACCAGAATGCAAGTCAATTACTCAACGGATCAACACAAACCTAGGTTTAGTCTATTCATCCTTGTACTGCTCACACTCTGGACATACCAGACACACAAGATCAGGCACATATATTTTGAGTGGACTGAAGCACTGTGTGTGGTGCTGCACCGAGAACAGTACAGCAAGAACTGACTATCATGCTTTCTTTCTGTCCCTAACACACACACAGCACATTAGAGCTGACCCAGTCTCCATGGCAACTGCGAAGCATGCTACCCTTGGGGGTGTTGGGAGGGGAGTTGGAGAGGGACAGATTTGAAGGGGAAAAACTCAGGAGTCGTTTTGATTTTGCTCTCCCTCCGGTCAGCCTGTTTCAGTCGCTATGGGCGAGCCCAGGGCACAGAGAGAGAGAAAGAGATAAAGACGGGGGAGGTAGAGAGAGAGAGAGGGAGAGAGAAGAGGACAGAGGGTGAGGAAAAAGGGAGAAAGACAAAGCCAGAAAGAATAGTTGGGAAAGAGGAACAGAGAAAGATGAGAAGGGAAAAGGGAGGGAGGTGTTCTCTTAATGGACTGTATTAGACTGCAGGGTTAGAGACACGCCTAACGTAGATGGGAACTTTTTCCTGGGTGACAGAGCAGAGAACAGTGGACAGTGTGTGTGAGTATATTATGCTAAGTGTGTATACGGCTGGATGATTTCACAGACTGCGTGTGAGTCACAGGGCTGTCACACACACTGACAGCGGGCGTGGATTGTGAACGAGTTAGTGTCAGTCTGTGAGACGCGCTGTTTTTAGAGAAAATTGAGTGAGTGTGATTGTGTATGTGTGTCTGAATGTGAGGGAGGGCTGAGGTGACTGCAGTGGCTCAGTCTTCACTACCCAACGCATGGAGTACATCACACACTAGGAGAGAAACACTTACAGGACAAATGCCAACACATACCAACACCTTCACCTCACACCTTACCAGCAAATGTACTCAAGATTGCTTAGATGGCAATTAAGTTCTTTCTTTCTTTTTTGTTACCCAATCCCCCCAGTTTAGTCATGGCCATTGCCCGCCTACAAGCTAGGTGTCTCCCATCACACGATGCTTCTGAGCTGGGAGGGTGAAGGATAGCACGTGTTCCCTCTCAGTCACATGAAGTGCCACTGCATCTTTTCTCAAGTACTGATTTTACTCAACGTCTCAACGTCATAGGACAGTGCAGCACACTTGAAGGAGAACACTAACTGCCAACTCTGTTACGCCAGCTAGCAGATAACTGCAGTGGCTAGCGTGTTGAGGGATGGGAAGAGGGATGGGCATCCTACTCATCCAGAGAGAGCGAGGCCAGTTATGCTCTCTTGGACTCCTGGCCGTGGATGCCCGTGGCATCGCCTGGAATCAAACTTGCAATCTTTTAAGTTAGGAGGTCACCTGTGTTGTGGTGATGCAGGGATTATAATTAGTGGTGTCAAAGTTAACGTTAATAATGTGTTACCATGACTAATTAATGACACTTTATTTTAAACTCATTTTAATGCACTTTCCTAGCTTAAATTGTCAAATAATCCATAGTTCAAGCCTGAAGCCAAGCTGCGCACATGCTGTTGCTATGGCTCCACAACCGTAGCCCCCTCGTTCAAACACAAGTTCCACTGATGGCTCTACTGATGAAATCAAATTTATTTCCAGCTACAGCATTGCTGTCCAATTTGTCATTACCAAAGTGTGCGGAGTCTTAAGTATCATTTAACAAGCAAAAGACAGAGCTGATGATGGCAATAACAGTGATATCAGTAATGCTATCACTAATGGATGCTTTTGGTAGAAAATGCTGGACAGGAGCTGGAACATGGAGCCACTGCTGCTCTCAAAGGACATTGGTGATTGGAAAATTAGACGCTGTGTTCAACACCATTTCATGTTCATGTGTTCATGTTCACTTGTATGGCTTCACTGCTTTTTAAATAGAAAAAATCTTAAGTCAAATAAGACAAATGTGATTAATCACGATTAATTACACAAACTAATGCAGTTAATTATGATTAATTTCAATTGTTTGACAGCCCTAGTACAATACATTCATGCTTTTGAAAATCTTAGAGTAGGTGTACGTGTATGAATATGTCTGTGATTATATCTTGCCGGACGTAGAAGACACACTTGCTGGTCTGTATGCATGCATTCATGCATGCACATGTAGCATGGGACATGGATGAGGTGAAGGTGTTTTTGGTGATGTTTGTTTGCATGAGTATTTATTGGACCCTGAAACAAAGTGAATGTATACTCTGGTCTGTGTGTATGTACTAGGTTTGAGTCAATCTTCAAAAATGTATGTATGCATGTATCTATGTATGTATTTATGTATTTGTGTGCTTTATGTGGGCACTAGAGTGGATGAAGGTTGTTGAAGTGTGTGTGCCTGTGTTTCAGTATATACTAGGACTGTTTGAGCTTTCAAGTATGTGTATGAGTGTACTTACATCCTGTGGGACCTGGATGAAGGCAAAGGCGTACTCAGTGGCCTGAGGAGGCAGATTGCGGGTGCTGAAGGCAGGAGGAAGAGCCGCTAGACGCACAGAGGACACTGTCTCTCGCTGCAGAATGACACAAACACACACATGCATTACCCAAGAGGACTTACTCATCTTTCATCCATCAACTGTATCGACAAGGCCTCCAGCAAGCAGAAACACTATTGGCAAGCCACAGAGGCGAGCAGAGAGGGGAACTTCTTTCATCCCATCTGCAGCGGCTTGCTTTCAAAGCCGCTGTTTAAAACCGGGAGAGAGTGCAGCACTCTCTTAATAGGCTCTTTACTCCCACTGCATCAGGTTCTCATCATGACAATATGGGGATGGTGGCACGAGAGAATGGGCCCCACCACCTCGGTGTGGAGCTGCCACCATGCTCAACAACAAAAGCCTACTCCAGTCATCAAACTAGAAAGAGAGAACGGATAGGGGGAGAGAAAGAGAGAAAGAGAGAAGAGAACAAACAAAGCACTTGCCAAGATGACTGTATCTTCTCCTGCACACTAAGACCTTGAGTTTTTCACTGAGAAGACAGTGAGTTGGCGGACAGATAGAACATATCAGAATATTCAACGACACTAAATATACAGGCGTGAGAAAGTTAAGAGAATACATCAAAAAAAATAGCTGATGTTAGACTGTGCCGGGAGTAATGGGACCTACAATATTTATACAGATGGAGATTTATTTAAGCCATATACTTTTTGATGGCACAAGACCTGGCCCAAGAGACAATATGCTGTGTCAATCAATGGCCATTACTCAGCTGCAGCTGACTAGGTGATGGTGGCTGGTGACTGAAGGAACTGCATTTTAAAGATTATAGGCTCAGATGAAGGCCCAAAGCTTTGGGTGTAAAGGAGACTGATAACGCTTTGAGATGTCAAAGCAAGAAAGATGGAGACTGAGCAAAAGAGATGGGCAGAAAGATAGATGGTGACAGAGAGCGCGGACGAAAACACAGTATAAAGCATTTAGAGAAAGAAGACGAAGGACCAGAGAGAGTGAGATATAGACTTAGATAAATAAATAGACTTAGATAAATAGACAGAAAGATTAACAGACACACTGACAGACATGCAAATACAAACTTTTCTTAATTAAAAAAAATACTAGCAAACTTAGACATAAGTCGTTGAGCAGAAAAGCTGAAAGCAAGTAATAGTCTATTAATGCTTGGTGTTTTTTGTTGGTTGAGTCACTTACTGTGCCCAAAGCACCAGCTAAAGGCCTCTCAAAATGAGCACAGCCCCAGAGCAGCAAAATGTGCTAGTATTGGAGTTTAAGCCTTTACACAGACATCACTGCCATCATAATAAGTGGCGAGTGCGTGGCTAATGCTAATCTGCTCCACCATTTCATTCCCTGATTTGATTGTGATGAATTTACAGTTGCTTTAAATGAGATGTCACCACCTGCTGACACACAAACAAATACATGAGCATGGTTACTCACGTTGCCATAGTCTATGTAGAACACATGAACCTTTGCTGGGGATTCAACCTTTTCCACACGAGCTCTGTACCTACACACACAAAGAAAGAGAGAGACAGAGAGAGAGAGAGAAGAAAAGCAAAGAAAAATTGGGTGAGTACATGATTAGATTCTTATGTTCCAGAGGACTGTGTCATGGTATATATCTGTAGGGGTGGGGATTGATGAACAAAGATGCAAGGCTATGTACACATGAGCAATAGCATTCAGAACTCTTCCTTTTTCTGGGCAGCAAACCACTGAGGACAGGGTGTTCTGGGTGTATCTACACACATATATATATATATACACATGCAACTCCTTGCCATGGGCCTTCAATCTGGCCCTCTGGGTGGCTTCCAGACATCCTCTATCTGGCATGGCCCACTTTAAGCGTGAAATGCAAAGTGCTAACCCTCCTCCTCTTCATAAAACCAACCCAACAGTATTAAACCTTTACAGTCTCATTTGCATAAGAAGCATGACTTCTGAATAGAAGCCTTCTGAGTTGGAATCCTGGCAAATTAAAAATGTAGGTAGCACTGTCAACTTACTTTGAACCACAGTAAGGTTAGAATCTCTTGTATATTCACAAACCTCTAAATCAGAGATGCCCAAGGCCAGGGTGAAAGGGTGGTCTTCTATTTATAAAAGTGTTCAAAGCGCCGCATGACAGGACCATAGACAATGCTAAAAAGGTGTCTGGTGTCTCTTCAAACCCACTTGCTTTCTTCTCCTGCTTTCAGATCCACCGCACCCCTGCCTAGCTCCTTCTTTCACAAAGCCCCAACGATCCAAAACAATGTGCTTTATTCAAGACTTCCTGCACTGCTACTATCATTCCAACCAATCTAAATATTCCCCTCACATTACATGACTTCCTACTCATATATTGCCCTGAATCTTCATAATCTTGTTTGTGACACATATCTGCCATTTGCTTGAATCTACCTCTGCCCTGAAGGGACTTGCATGGTCAATTTTAATCACCAAATTAACCACTGCTGACACACTGGAAACACTGGATAATACATACATGTACAGTAAAATGCTAATGTCTTTATTTTAAAAATAAATGAACAAGCAAACAAGCAAGAAAACTTATTATGCATATTGATTGGATATGTGCCTGATCTAGGACCACATACGAAAGTGGCTCAGATCTGATTTAAAAGATCAGAGTTTTGTGTTCATACAGAAAAATTACAGACCAGTCCTCCAGGTCACTACAGTTTCAGAGGTGCCCCTGTAAGCAGAGCCAACACAACTACACTAAGGATTACAACAATACTCAGTCAGTCAGTCAGTCAGTCAATCTCTCCTGACACTTCAGCATTATGAATGTATTGAGAAACCAGACAGTGGAGAGGGAGGGGAAAAAAAGAGAGATGGACAAACAGAAAGGAGAATGTTAAAAACGATTAAGGCAGCAGAGAGATAGCACGAGAGGGGGCTGAATGCACCATGGCTCGGTGCCGAGCTTTTCAAATCCCCTCGCCATTCAGGAGACCTTGAAAGGACGCAAACTCTAATTAGTATTTAATAAGGAGAGAACAAGGCACCACAAAGAGCGCAGAAGAGGAAAAAGAGCGTAATGGGCCTCCCTACAGAGGCTGCCGTTCACTCCCAACCAAGACAGGACAAAGCAAGTTGCCTCCATCATTCCCAAATGACAAAGCTCTCTTTAGTGCAGCAAACAGACGAGCATGAGCAGAAATAATCTCAAGCAAACTGCTAAAATGTAAAAAAAAATAAATAATTTAAAAGTAAACAAACAAATAGATCCTTTACAACAAACAGATGGCTCTTTTTAAAGTGTCTTTTCAACACTACATAAGAGGATGAAATAATGGCACTGAAGTTCATTTGCAGCTACACAAGGGAGTGGTGCCCACCTGCTTTCTATAAAATTGTTCCCCCCTCCCCATGTTGCTGTAATAACAATGCTGATGATGTTTTTATTTATCCCTAAGTCAAGTCCCTCATGTCTGGCAAGGTCAACGGACACTTCATCACAAGGACTTCCATCTGTCCTACTTGGGACATCTGCACCACTTGACTTGACCTATCTAACAACCAAATACACATGCCTTTAAGTTGAGAGAAGAGCTTAAACCACTACTCACGCTTTACAGTATATATATCATGATATACAAACATATGAATTAAATTATAGTGGACCCAAGCCAGCTTCACAGAGCACAGACAGCAGTTTGAGGACAAAATACAGCCCCAAAAGTACTGCTTTCATCATTCCTACCTAAAAAGTACAGCAAACTGGCCTCCCTGTTAGCCAGCTGTCCCACTCAGCACCCCCTAGAAGTAATGATTCTGACTAGTCTTTGCGAAGCTGTAGCCATGTACTGAACACTAGGGTATCCCTCAAAAAGAGAACGTTAAAGTTAATTTCCTGCATTTGCATGGTCTGTTGTAATGTTTGACTTTAATGAACACACGCCCACAGAAATATTACTTTTGTTACTTATATTGAGGAATTTAATTACAAAACAGAATTTTTCTGTTTGAAGTACACTCAGTTGACTGCAAATAATGTTTTAGATACTAGTTAGGCAAAGACTTTTTAATTTATATACAGTGAGGGCTAAAGGTCTGAGAAAACTAGTAAAAAGCTATTTTACATTCCTTCCTAATTTAATGGAAAGATTTTCATTCTATTATTAGCATAATTTGAAGGAAAAGTAGAATCTCTAATGAATTTCTCTCATATGTCCCTTCTTTTGCTTTATGAGTGTGCACTGGAACAAGCACAGGATCCAATAATTTCCGCAAAAGCCTCTGACGAGTAGATCAAATGCTTCTGAGAGTCATGTGAACACATGCTTCATATTGTACAAAGGCCTTAGCATGGTCAGTGTCAAAAATTTGCTTAAATTTAAATAGTAACTTAGAAATAATGCAGAATCTTCAGAAGTTCTTCATTTTACTTACTACTCACATGTTGTGTGTTTTTTTTTTTTTTCTTCAAAATTCTAAAATGTTCTATTTATTTCCAAGTTTAGTTTCACTTTCACAGATGTGGTTTAGTTGGCAGTAGTAATAGTTTTAGGATGTATTATTAGCGCCGAACCATTAGCATTTTGGGTTATTCGTAATGCTGCTTTTTGTTGTAGTGCTGTTAAGTGGATGATGTTACTGCAATGTCAATGCGGTCTCAGATTTTGGATCCCACTGTATGTAGGGGTACAGCTTTTTATGTGTCTCAATGCTTATTACATCGTAAACACACTCAAACACAGGATTGTAGTATTGAGTATACACTGCTCAAAAGCTGTGGCTACACAGTTAATTTTTCTGCTCTTTTTAAAGAAATAAAAAGGAACGTCAATGGACTTCCTTTTCATATTCAATGACTACAACAAAACTGCAAGTTGGCTACATTCACACGGTCACTGAAATCAGAAAATCATTTAATGATTTCATCTAGTTCTCCCGGTTTACGATTATAAATTTAACTGAATTAACTTAGCAAAATTACGAATTTCTTAAGTAAAGAAATAAAAATAAATGTGTACTGGCAGAAATGACCATGAGATGTCAACATATGATACACTGATAGGAATGTAAAACATTAAATGATTTTTTTGGGATACTTAAATTTTTTTAAAAAGTACAATAATGAATAAATCAATGTTGGAGAAAATGTTATGTTCTTAATGCTCATCTTAAAAGGAAAAGGACAAAATGACAACAGTGAAGAATAAATCAAGTCAGGTTGGTTCATATATTTTAAAAAAATGCGCACTTGCTTCATTTGTAAACACAAACACAGCAGCACAGGCAGTAGTCAGCATGTGGGCACAGAGCGAGTCTGTGGCTATAAAATGTTCACTAACATGACAGATCATAACATTCACTTACCACTTAACAGCACAACACAAAGCAGCATTACATATAACCAAAATGTTAACCGTTTGGCACTAATCACACAGGCACCAACTAGTACTACTGCCAACAAAACCACACCTGTGAAAATGTAACTAGCTCAAGTATACTAAACTAACAAGGAGCACACAAGCTTTAACAACAATCAGCAAAATGATAATCACTTCAATTAACTCCTCATTCCGAATTTTCTTCAGACAGCAGTACCTAACTGTCTGTCTCAAAACAGCACAAAAAAGTACATTATTGGAAGGACAAACGAAGCATACCAATACACTGTGTATTGTGGTTACAGCTCTGAATTCATTCTAATTCTAATATCCACAATTACATAATTAGAATGCCCTATTACAGTACAAAAGACAGATTGACAAAGCAAAGCCACATGCTCCTGCCTGGAAGTACTTACCACTCTCCGTCAGCAAACTTGGCAATGCAGTAGTCCCCTCTGTGTGGGGTGAAGGACCCCTCCACAGGGGGCTGAGCTGCGATCTCTGCCCGCATGGTCTCCATCAGGTTCTCTAGCTGGGCACCTGCACAAATGAAAAGGAGGATTAGAGTCACTCATCCAACCATTCTCTTACACACACCTTCCAAGGCATGGAAGGAAAAGACCAGCATTATAACTGTTTGCAACCATGTCCCCGTGTTCATCATAGCTGGAAAAGCCAATTTGGCTATTTTGGTTCTTGCAGACAGACGGATTTTCAGCCCCATCAATGTCTGTATTCTTAAGTGCCAAGAAGAGCCTCAGACATACTGCAGTACTGTAGGTTATGCGCAACAATGATGGCCTTAAAGTATGTGAAAAAACACATATCGTGAATGCCAATATAGTGATTTTGAAAATATACTGCGAAAGTACAGCGACTCGAAGGACTGCAGTTATTGCCAATGATTGTCCCGCGGTAACAACAATTTACTGGCTACTCGGCCTCAATGGCTGAGCAGAGAGGACTAGCAGAGAGCTAGTTTAGCAAAGTGGCTGTTGCAAAATTACTCTGATTTGTTGACAACTCATTTCGATTGACTTTCTTGCTGGGGGTGGAGGGAGAGCGAACAGCTTCAGAAACACAGAAGCAAGCCTCAGCCTCAATCAAAACTCAAAACAACCTTTTCAGCTGGATCAGAGGCTGCTCAGCACACATGTTCTCAAATCGATAAAAGTGCAATTAATGATCAAAACATGTAAATATATAAAGGCAGGTCTGTGTTTGCTTTTCTTCCCACTCTAATAAGGAACTCAGGTGGATATATTTGTTTCACTGTAAGCCCTGCAGCCATTCAATCATTCCCTCCAACAACACAGCAATCAGTGTAATCGCTGAGCTGTGAGGTTTTAAGGGGTTACGGAAAAGTCTCACAAAATGGCTTTCACAGCCGTGCATGACTAACATCATGGATGGAGGAATGTGGATAGAGGTAGAGCATGAGAAAGAGGAAGCACACAACACTTGCTGTTTTAGCAAGTTTATCAGCCATGCATACAGCCAGTCAACACAGTACTTTAATTAGCACAATGTCACTGCAAAAGAGAGAAGCACAGGGAGAAGGCTGGGTTGTAGTGCGTGTGTATGTGTGTATATATGTTGAGGGGGGAGGGAAAGTAGAGCAAGGGCAGGGAAAAAGGAGTGAAGGCGTACTAATAGTACTCGAAGAGGGTATAGCTTAATATGTTCTTAACACAGTGGCATCCCACCTACTAAATGGTACATTAGCACACACACTAGATAAAAAAAACAAACAAACAAAACATGCACACCACCCTCATCTGTGCTTCACGTACTAGCACCATCAAGGCCATTTGGAAGAGAAAGCAGTTTTTAGAAGAGGAAAACAAAATATTAATGCCCCACTGGTGTCATTTATGATGCCACGTCTACTGACAACGCAAAATATACCCCTGATTTATTCAACTCATTAAAAAAAGTTTGGAGTGCGTGCTGCCAGCCAGGAGAACAGAAGAGGGTATCCTACCTCAGCTATGCTCCACTTTGAGTCCTGTGAGAGCTTGTTAAATAATAAATAAGGCTCGGGGGAGGGAGTCCTCCGAATGCTATATAAATCTTTACACTTAATTTAACCTAATTAATATCAGATGCTCTCATTAAGGCACGTGGACACTGCAGAAGCAAGAGTTTCCCAACACGTTATCACCATCAGACCGCTATTAGACGCTTTAGCACTTTTTTTCACTTTTTTCCACTTCCGGTTGTGACAAGTAAAACATTACGTCATGACAGTGGAAAAGGCTGGGCAAGCTGATGTTAGCCAAACTGACTGGGGTGGGGGGATAATCCATTCTTTAAACAAGCTATTTGATATCGACTTTGCCTGTATATGCAAACACCACACAAAAAATAGCCTCAACCATTTAAGTTAAGCCCATCACACTGTTAGCTCGCAACAGTATACACATTGAGGTATGGTTCAAAATGTTGGTAAAGCAAGAGATGACCCCTACTCAAGTGATTGTCTTAAGCCCTTTAGGCTTTTAACACCATCCTTTAATGGCAAATAGAAAACAACGACTAGAAGGTGTGGACACATCTGAGGGCACACAGATGTTTAAAGAAAAACTTAAGACACACTGCATGACATCATCCATTGCATGGATACTATTTTAAACACCATCAACATTTTCTAGATGTTTTCACTATGCTGTTTAGTCTAGTCCATGCCTCTACAGAATACCTTCTTTGATCACATCTTTATGAAAATGTAACATTATTTTTAAACCATGGGTTATGAAACTTATGGACAATGACAGGTTCCATAAATACAGCAAGGTCAACGCTTTAAAACTTGCTATAAATCCAAAACCACTGTAAAAGAATCACACTTAGGACACATTCACATTACAGTCAAATATGGGTTTGGTGTTACTCCACTACAGGCAGCTGTGTTCCATTCCATATTGCTATTCTACTAAGTGCATTAAAGTGTGATCTAACACATAGAAGATGTACCACTTAATACAGGTTACAAGCTCTAAAAAGGTAAGTATGAACTTAGTCTTAGACATATAACCACAAATTTCCAAAGAATGAGGCTTTATGTACATAATTATAAATGCGTTAATTGGAAAACTGGCCAGTAGTATGGACAGTAGAAAAGGTGGTAGGAGGTTTCGTGGCTAAGATGAAGTTGATGTTTAGGACCCACTGATCCCTTAGGGCACTCAGGGCTCTCTTCAGAAACACATTAGAGGTGCTTTGCTCTCCTCCTACCTCACCCGCTCAAATACACGACTTAAGGCCGTCTTAATTTGAAGGGCCTCTCAGATTTAGAGTGCTTTAAAGTTTGCACACCTACACATCCCATTTGCAGTCAGTCTACCATGCCTCAAAAATATCAACAATGCAATCTTAAGGTGAATGGCAACGCTTGTCATTTTGAACAATGACACTGCTAGCTGAACTACCAAGCACAGTGCAGAAATCAGTTATGCTTCCTCTACAAATCATGATCACATTTCCTCTACAGGTTTCTCAATAAGATCAGCCTTAAATACTTTTAAGCAAATCTCTAAAAAGGGAAGTGAAGGTGACCTATTTCTTTCATTCACTGCTTCCCCACAACCCCGAAAAACTCAACATGTACTGCAGGGAAATAAATGCTGCTTGTTAGCATTGTATAGTTACATAAGAAGCTATAAATAAACCACACCTGCATTTATTAGCATAGAAAAGAAGTGAAGATATGCAAGATGGGTCAGGTGGCCCAAGAGTGCATGTACAATGTCTCAGTGCCCAACATACACATGGGATTTATCTTTTCAAAATATTTAGGAATGTCAGCTGGCAATTGGGGTGAGGGAGAGAGAGAGAGAGCGAGAGAGAGAGAGAGAGAGAGAGCGAGAAAGAGAGCGAGAGAGAGAGAGAGAGAGAGAGCGAGCAAGAGAGAGAGAGCGAGCAAGAGAGAGAGCGAGCAAGAGAGAGCGCGAAAGAGAAAGAGATATGCTGGTACATTTGTGGTCAATATTTGGCCGCAAAATGGGACTCCAGCAGAGTGGACCACTTTTACAGGACAAAGAGCCAGGGAGCTGATCCAAAAAGAAAGGACCGTTACACATTTTCACCCAGAATTATTTTACCTTTTTTCCACTAGTTCTGTCATTTCTTTGTAAGGGCCTCTAAGGGTTGTTTTAAATGTTATTGTTAAATGTTGTTTTAAATGTTGTTTGCAAATCAGATGTAATTACTTTTTAGTTGTTCTACGCAGCACATAGGACCATGGAAGACTCCAACAGAAAACCAGGTTTTTGTTGACAATACCATTCTGAAGTGTGCAGAGAGACAGAAATGCCAGAATAAAACATTTATAGGCTGTTACTGCAGGACAAAATCTACTACTACTCCATAACCTACAACGCACTTAAAAAAGATGGTTCTTTAGTAAAGGCTATGTTCTATATAGAACCATTTCATGCTTAAATGGTTAAAAGGTGAAATAGTACATCAGACTGATTGAGAATGTGCTGTCTATGGTTCTATGCAAAACCTTTTTGTAAATGGTTTTATACAGCACCAAAAAGTGTTCTTCTATTGTTAAGGTGTCAAGCTTATAACAATAGAAGAACCCTTTTTGGTGCTATATCATAAAACACACACCAACACTACCATCTTACAAATCGAAAGGTAATTACATGAAGGATGTAGTCTAGCAACAGTCTAAAAAGACAAATTAAAGCCAATTCAAATAAACTATGCATTAAAAACACGGATAGGCTATTTCTTTCTTAAACATAATTTGATGCTACAACTAAATTACAGAAAATTTGTCAAAGCATGTGGCGGATGACACAGTCCAATCATGACTGATCATCAATCCTTGAATGTCATTACAAGGCAGGTAATCCAGCTTAATCTTTATAAACGAAGTGTATTATAAAAGTGCATAATTTCAGTGGGTCAAAGGATGTAGGCTAATAAGCTATCGACTAAAAACTGCAGATCATTAAGTAATACATATCAACCCAACGCATTCTATCTAACTACATGCATCACAATATCACTAGGCTGTTACTAAGATAATAAAAATAACTTTTAATGTTCTTGAGAGATTTATAGCTTTTATTTGGTTAAGTTTAACTTGAAAAAGTGGACTTGTTTAAAATAATGAGTTCGATCTCCGGTGATGCTGGTCATCCTTGGCCGGAAGTCCAAGAGAGCACAATTGGCCTCACTCACTCTGGGTGGGCTGGATGGCCCTCCCTCTGCCGGCATCACTCAGTGTGCTGTTAGCTGACGTAATAGAACTGGCTGTTAGCACTCTCCTCCAAGCGCATTCAGTTGTCCAATGTTCAGAAAAAAAATGCAGTAGCTGGCTTCACATGACTTGGAGGATGCTTGTGTTGGTCTTTACCCTCCTAGCGCTGGTGGTATTGAGTGACTGGAAGACTAACGAGTGGGTGGAACTGGACATGATCAAATTAGAGAGAAAATTGGAAAGAAACAACCAAAACAGTGACCTGCACTTTATAGTGGACTGGCTACATTGCAAAATGACACTATTCACAATGCATCACAGA